ACTGTGGGAAAAGGGCTTCTGTTCCTTTATAAGTTGTGTCCCAAATATACACCTTTGAATAAAAGGTGAGCAAGTCTATAAGTCAGCTCCCAGGTATTGTATGGCATTGTAATATCCATAAAATCCTCTCAGATTTCTCCAAGCCAGGCTCTGTCTTCACTTATATTACTCTGGGGACCTAAAGGGTTATATTCCTAAAAAAAGAGTCCAATCACCAGAAATACCTACATCTAGGCAAAGCAGCCCAATACTAGTGAAATTGCTCCCCCAGAGATAAACTGATCTTCCAAAAATTAGTAAATTGATGGAATAATCATCTTATTTTTAAAATAATCATGAATGCAGTTTATTCGTGTCTGCTTTGATGGAAGTTTTAAAAAAGACTTGGGATGCACAAATATCTTGAGAAAAGGAGACATTTTCAGTTTGTTTTCTTGATTTTTTTCTTTATCTTAGAAGCCAAGCTTTGAGTGTGAACTAGAAGCTGGAGGCCAATGCAGCCACATGGCAACATAGAGAGAACGAACGCAGCATCCAGTTTCTACTATGCTTTGTGACTTGGGCCATGTTCCTTACCTTCTTCCAGCTTACTTTCAGAATATATGATGAGCAAAATCATTAGTTACACAACTTAAATAGGCTGCCTCCAGAGCTGGTACATTATTTGTCACCATCAGCATAATTTTAAAGTAAAGACTGATTGACAAATGTTCCCAGATTTCATAAGGCACTCTGGCACGCGACATTTCACATGATGGCCACAACAATCCTGCCATTCTCATTTTATAGATGTGATCAGAGAACAAGAGTGACTTGGCCAAGCTCATAAAGCAATAATCGGAGATCAAAGACTTCAATCCAGACCTGACTGATGCCAAGTCCTGTGCCTTTCTGGGACACACCCTGATCCTCTTTCAGGATGCTTAGGACGAAGATTCTTGGATCAGGGAGCTAACTGGCTTAATGATTTATAAGGTCAATTCCAATTCTAATAGTCTGTGCTTCCATCTATAAAATGAAGGAGTTGGATTAAATCAGAAGTTTTAAAACTTGTTGTAGTAGAAAAGACCCTTTCCCCTCAAGTGAAATCTAATATACGATGACAAAATATAAAATAGATAATGGCAGCACCCCTGCAGTTGAAAAAGTGATGGCTTCCACCCAAATGTCCATTAACTGATGAATGGATAAACACAATGTGGCATATCCATACAATGGAATATGCTTCAGCAGTGAAAAGAAATGAAGTACTGACACATGCTACAACATGGGTGAACCTTGAAAACATTACCGCTAAGTAAAATAAGCCACATACAAAAGGACAAATACTGTATGATTTCATTTATATAAAATGTCTAGAATAGGTAAGTCTATAGAAATAGAAGGCAGATTAGTGGTTACCAGGCACTTGAGGAGGGAAGAATGAGGAATCACTACTTAGTGGATACGGTGTTTCCTTTGGGAGTGGTGAAAATTTTTTTGAACTTAATAGAGGTGATGGTTATACAATATTGTGGATGTACTAAATGCTACTGAATTTTACACTTTAAAATAGTTGATTTTATGTTATGTGAATTTTACTTCAACAACAATAGCAAATATATATATAGAAAGGAGTTCCACCCATCAGCCTCTTTCCTATGTCCCCACAGTGCCTCCGCAGAGCCCTAGTATGAAAATCACTGGAATTACTAGAGATTACAAACTATTATTATAGAATCGTTACTGCATGGCAGCTGTTTTCCTCCTCCAAGGGCTAGAAGTAATTTCTTCTAATCCAGCAAATAAACATGCCTGAGCCAGTGGCATCTTGCTGCCCAGAAACAGAACCTTCATTGGTAAATCAGACCCAATATTAATTCCAGTCCATGGTTATCCAGCAGCTTAAGTTTTGGGATATGTCATGGATTTCAAACTCAAAATTCTACTTTTATGTATACCAGGAAAGAGAATGGTAACTAAACACTATTAAGTGTCTAACATATATTAAAAGCTTTTCAATGTTGTTTCATTTAAATACCATTATCCTCATTTTGTAGAAAAGGATACTGAAGTTCAAAACAGCTTAGCACCCCCAAGGTCTCACCACCAGTTAATGACAGTTTAGAATTTGAATCTCAGTCTTTCAGCTCAAGAGAAATCTCTTTCAACTATGCCATGATACAGATCAGCAGCATCTCAAGTTCCTCCCCCCATAGAATGCATGAGGACTACTTTCTATCCCACCAAGAAACTCTCCCCGGCCTACGAGCCCCAGAGGTGTGCAGAAGTGCATGACACATGGACAAATGCATCCGGCGCTCCTTCCAATGCTTCCTCTGTAGCTTTCCAGAGCAGTCTGGGGAGCTAAGGAGTTCAGGGCATCTACTTTTTTTCTCCAGTCTGTGTGGGGAAAGTGAAGACCCGCTTCAACCATCTTGCTGACAAACTGTACTCATGAAAGAACTAAAGAGGGATACTCAGACCCTCGTTTGCTAAAGGGTTGAGGGGAAAGGATACGATATTATTTGTTTTTAAAGACTTAGGCCAGATTCCTATGCAAATGCAAGAAACTCTGACTTCTAAGTATGGGTGACATCATTTATGCAGCTGGAATGACATGGTCTCCAATTTGGACACAGATGATTCAGCACTACAACATTGTGCATTTTCTGTGGGCATAAATATGGTGCTTTTTCAAGTTATTCTGGAACATTTCTAAACAAAGGAGCTGAAAGTAATTTCAGCCTTTTTCTTTGCATGGTAAAATGATCAAAATGATAATAATCCTTTACATATAAATGCACTTTACAGATTACAAAGTGCTTTTCTGGATAATCACTGTTGAGTTAAAAAAAGAAAGAAAGAAAGAAACTATGAAGTTAAGGAAAAAAGATCAGTAAACGGCATTTAGCCATTTACTTTTATATACCTATACTCTGCAGGTAAGAAAAGGGTGAGATAAAAGGGTTCTTATATTAGAATTAAAGTCAGATTCTTAAAGCTCTAACTGTTCTGGTTATCAATAAAAAATCAATGCTGTTAAAATTAAAAATGAGGTGCTGCTACTTACAAGTGTGATAAATTGTAAAATGCCTTTCCCATCCTTCCCAATGGTCTTGTGCACCATTGCTATTCAATTCTAGATCTCCAGCTCATATGGATTATACAGTCAGGTGCAGGTAACAAAAAACAAGCAGAACAAGAAAAAGAAAGCTAATCATGTTTTAAGGTGGTTTAATGTTTTTGGTAGCAGAGATTAAGAAGGCTCAGGCTACACGTTTCCTTTGAACCTGCTGTTCCCACCAAAAGAATCAAAAGGTTAATGTGTCAAGGTCATCCCTCCCCGCCACAAAAAAAAAAAAAATTTAGACCACTGTGCCATACCAGCAAGCATGGATAGCCACAAAAACCTCCCCATTAGGCTGTACAACCTCTGAGGACCTAATCTCAGCTCATGAGATCAATAATTATTAGAGAGCAGATTTTCAAGGAATGCGTTTTATTGCAATTAATCTAACCAAACTGGCAGGTATTAATTAATTCATTGCTTTTCCTCAAGGATGGCTAAAAAAAACTGTTGCATGTACATACTAGTGGACAAATCACGTGGCTGCCATCGTGTTGCTCAGAGGATTTGGCAGGCTTGACACGCCACCACTTTGAAGTGCTAATCGGCGGAAGCCACACCTGGCAGGACTGGCCTACACAAACTACAGGTGAACACTCTGAGCCTAGTCTTGCCAGCAGTGGCAATCTGTGCCTCACACAGTGAAGAACACTCTTGAGGAGAATTCATCCAAGCTGGCATCATCCCCCCGACTCCAAATACGACAAACATTCCTCCAGGGTAACATTTCCTACAGAGCAAAAAGGCACTCCAACCTTGGCTGCACAGTAGAATCACCCAGGGAATGTAAAAAAATTCTACGGCCAGGTCTCCAGCCCAGGGTAATTAAAATCAGCATCCCTAGAGCTGGGGGCCCTAACACTGGTATTTTTGAAAGCTCCCCAGATGGCTCTAATGTGCAGCCAAGGAGGAGAACCACTACTGTAGGGTGATTCTAACAATATTTGGGTTTGAGCTCAGCTGGTGTGGGGCCACGGAAGAGTAATCTGCAAAAAGCGCTTGCTTGGGTGTGTGTGTGGTGGGGGGGTCAGTGTTCCTCCCTGTCTTGAACCATAAGTGAAGAGTGCTTTGCTTGTCTGGCAGCATTTGGGCCAACCCGATTTGTCAAGAGGTTAAGAGAAATGCCATTTGAAATGCCTGCATTGGATTTTTCTGCCAAAAACAGAGGCACAATGAGATTTATTCAACCCTTACTTTGTGAGAGCCTGGAATGTGGTAAAAGCAAAAACAAACAAAATACCCAAATGACATGTCATTAAGTTCAGGGGTGATTTCATGTAGGGAGAAGTGGGGCACATACTCCAACCAACATTACAACAATATAATGTCCCACTGGGTGGAGTGGGGTGGGGATGGAGAGGAATTATAACTATTATAAATATGATAGGACATTCAGAAGTTCATTAAACTGGCTCTGCAAATTTTTATAAACAAAAAGTTTACACTGCACGAGTGTAAACCTCGAGAAGGAAATAAAAAGGAAGTCACCCTTATCATGTCCAAGTTATCCATGGCCCTCTTCTCCAGCATTTTGTTTTATTCTACCTCTGCTTGAGGCTTTCAAACAGAAGCACCTAGTGAACAATGGTGGGGCGAGAGGAGATCTTATCAGTGGGGGGAAGTGGGGTTTTAGAGACACTTTCTAGATTTGGGTAACAATCAGAAATTCACCAGCTGAACCCCATATGTTAGATTAATATGTGTCTTCATCTCTTGATTTTGAGTAACTGGTTGCTTGGGAGCTGATATTTATAAAATGATAATACGATTTATCAGATGGTTTAATGTGTAAATCTACTCACAATATTAACATGTTCCCAGAATTTAACTTCTGTTCCTAGGACATGGAAAGCAGAGTTGATAAAAATAAATGATATAAAAAAATACTTACTGGTTCTCTCTTTTCTTCTTAAGTGGATCCATGAGGCGCAGTGTGTCTCTGATCACAGCCACTTTCACCTCTTCATCGACAAGGCTGGGGACATTTTCAAACACCCCTGGAGAAAGCTTGAATGGATAAGGATTCCGTGTTACAATGAAGACAGATTCAGTGCCACGTGGCTATCAGCATCCAATTCTACCACTAGCTCAAGTGGTTGTACTGTAGGTTTTGTTTATGTTAATCTATAGAAGAGATTTATAGAAGTTTCCCTTTCTACAACCTTAAAAATGACAATTTCCTTTAACAAATCAGCAAAATACATAAGGAGGAAAAACAGCACAATTTTTCCTGATTATCAAAATTATACATGCTCATTGTAGAAAATTTGGAAATATAGAAACAGGTTAAAAATGAAAAGCATCCATATAATCCCCCAAAGTCCAATATTAATATTTGGTATATTTTCTTCCAGTCTTTTTTTGTGCATTTTCGGGGGGGAGAAAAATATATAACCATTGTTAAATGTACTATTTATCTTAGTGATTCAAGCATGTCGACATGGCTAAATCATATTCATAGAATTTCAATTAGCTCATCTCCTGAGGCTAACTAATTAGTTCATGTCAAAACTGACGGAAAGGCTCAGCTGCTTCTAAGTTTCCAGACCTTAAAAATTGGAAGAATGGCAAGCTGGGAAATTACAATAGGTCAGATAGGTCTTATATTAATAGACTATGTTCAGAGCTCAACAAAACTAAGATTATTTAGACTTGAATGGACTTTGCTATGCAAATTTGGGAATGCTGAATCTTGTTTAGCCAAGTGAACAACATTGAGTGGGAACATTCAGTTGTACGACAATATATTCGATGATATATTCAAAATACTTACTTCTTGCTCATGTTCAATTCTCATGCTGGGATTTGCATTTACTTCAAGTAGTACAGGCTTCAGATTTTTCATTAGAAGTATGTCAAAGCCTAGAATCTGGGCAGGATAAACATAATTCAGAATTACTCCCCCTAGCTGCAATTTCTTTTTAGGAATTGAGTATGGTATTAGGGTCATGAAGGTGAAAATAAATTCAAACTCATCCCCTAACCTGGACCTTGACCCTGGATTCTCTAGTCCACAGCCCCTCTTCCTCTGGGCGTACTTGTCAGACCAAATGGACAGCAGAAAATTTTATAGGAACCTTGATAATGGGATGAGTTCCCATACTGCATTTCAGCACTATCAATGTCATCTGAAGTGCTATAAGATGATGACCTCTTTCCTCTTTAACAGATCTTTTTATTATGTTAAGCATTAGTAGTAGTCTTTCAATTACTCCCTCTGCTTTTTCTTCTGCTCTTCTCTATTAAGTTGCTTCCTAGCTAGATACCTGAAAATCCAAGGCCACCTTTCCTAACCTGGGGTATATACATCAGAATCAAAATCACCATCTAGCCCTTATCTCACACCTACTGGGTCAGAATCCTTCAGCGCAGAACCCAGGCAAATGTATTTTGAAAAAACAACCCCCCCCCCAGGTGATTCTGATAGACCTTCATAGCTAAGCAGAAGGAAGTATTTACTAGGCAACCACCAGGCAGTAGGATCCCTGGTGGCACAGTAGTTAAGAGCTACAGTGAGCTACGGTTGCTAACCAAAAGGTCGGCAGTTCAAATTCACCAGCCACTCCTTGGAAACCCTATGGGGCAGTTCTACTCTGTCCTATAGGGTCTCTATGAGTTGGAATTGACGCAATGGGTTTGGGTTTTTTTTTTCACCAGGCAGTAATTACTATGCAGTGCACCAATTATTCATAATCTCATTTAAGCCTCATGACAATATATTTGAAGTAGGGATTATGCTCTCCATTTTACAGAACTGAAAACTGAGTCTCAGAAAGGCTAATGGATTACCACCTAACCTGCAAGAGACAGAGCTAGATTTCACACCCAAGCTGGACTGGCTACACAATTTGTGTGACTCAATGCAAAATGAAAATGCAGCGTCCCTTGTTCAAAAAATTATCAACAATTTCATGATGATGACAGTAGAGTATTAAACCTAGTGTGGGGCCCTTCTGAACACGGGGCCTTGTGCAAGGCCACATGCTGATGAAGCCAGCCCAGCCCTCAAGGCTAACTTCAACACAATTTGTCAGATGTCTATTCTTGAATACAGCTGCTGCCTCAAGTAAGGCTTTGTCTTCCAGCCACTCTGGCCTCTCTCAATTCCTCACAAGCCCTATGCTCAGGGCAAGCCACCTGTTATGGATTGAATTGTGACCCCCTGAAATACATGCTGTAAATCCTAATCCCTATACCTGTGGTTATAATCCCATTTGGGAATGGGTCTTCTTTGGTATGTTAATGAGGCACTACAAGTAGGTGCCTTTAATGAACAGAAATTTATTTTCTCACATTTTAGGAAGCTAGAAGTCCAAATTCAGTATTAGTGTTGGGTGTGTCTTGAGCGAATCTCTTTTGAGATATAAAAGAGCAGATTCAGCAAGCAAGCACAAATGGAGGAGAAGATCCACGCCACATGATCATCAAGGAAACTAGGAATAGAAGCTGAAAAGAGACAAAGACTTTCCCCCCAGAGCAGACAGAGAGAGAGCTTCCCCTACAGTGCCCTGAATTCGGAATTTTAGTCTCCTATACTGTGGGAAAACAAATTTGGTTGTTAAATCCACCCACTTGTATTTCTGTTATAGCAGCACTAGATAACTAAGACATCACCCTTGTTCATCTTGTTCACTTGGCCTGAAACAACCCTTCACCTATAGAACTCCTCCTCATCCTTGAGATCGTAGTTCCTAATTACATTCCTACTCGCAAGGTAAGGACTTTAGATTCTTGGGAGTGTTCCCATTACCTCTGTAGAAGGTGATACCGTAGAAAGCTTCCAATGTAATTGACACAACACCAAAGTTTCAAAAAAAAAAAAAAATAATGTGGAGAATAAAAGAGAGAAAAGAAAAAGATATGGTTACAACTTCCCCCCTTCAATCAACTCAAGAAGAAAAGATGAGGGAAATCCATTTACTTGCCTATGTAGAATATGCATTAGTTAAATGATAATTATTAAATGGTAGCTTCATTCTTATTAATGAAATCAGAGCCCAAATGACTACTTTTTGTGTGATTCCAGATGAAGTTATTCTTCAGTGAAGGGAATAAGGATGAGAAGTTAGAAAAAATCATCCTTAATCTATTTTTCTTTCCACGGTCATGAAAAGAAAGGAGTGGAAATTCAGTAGAAAATGTTACTTGTATTATAGATCTGCTTAATAATATATGACAAGTGGATATGAATGATGAGGCCTTTAAGAGGCTCTGGTGACATCATCAGTCTAACTTCAGACCTGGCCTGAGACATGTGATGTTGATGAGGCTACAGAGAATGGCAAGCTGCAGTGCCAACATTTATCATCTTTAGTCATCAACTCTTACTTTTTGCTACATCTTAGAAGTTTGGACTTGCGCTTTTTCAGCCTGGTGAACTCTTCTCAATTCAATGCACGTGGTCTCATGAATGTAAAGCTATAGGAATACTGGGAGCTAGAGTAGGGTTTGGGCATGGCAAAACCTCATCAGTCGTATTGGCCTGTGGGGTGGCATAATATTTTCTGGGACCTTAATGTTGGTGCATGTATTTGTCAGAAAGACCTGGGTTCCAATCCCAGCTCAGTCTCTCACACTAGCTAGATGACTCTAGGTAAGGTGCTTAACCTTTCTGAGCCTCAATTACCTCATATGTAAAATGGGGATAATAATAGCTGCCTTGCAGGGTTGTTGATAGAATTAAATGAAATAATGGAAGTGAAAAGTACCTAGAACTGTGCTTATCACATAGAAGGTACTCAGTATATGTTAGCTCCCTTTCAACTTTGCTATAATCCCTCCAACAGGAAATGGCATTAGTATGCTTTGGAATCAAAAGGAGCTAATTTAAAATTTTCATTCTACCTTTAACTTGTGTAACTACAAGCAAGTTACTTAGCAACTCTAAACTCTAGTTTCCTCATCTGTAAATGGGAAAATAAGAATAGCACTTATTTATTCTAGTTCACTCATTCATAAAATATTTATTGAATGCTTTCTATGTCCCAGGAACTAGTCAAGCTGCTGGAAATATAGTAGTGTACTAGACAAAGTCCCTGTCCTCCTGGAGCTTACAATCTAGTAGGGGAGACAGGATCAAATAACGATAGTGCAATGTAAAATATTTTGCACAGTACCTGATACATAATAAGTGTTTAGTGAAAGTCAGCTTCATTATATTTTTTCACAAGCTTGAGGAAAGTTCATGGAAAAAGGAATGATTTTCTTTTCAAAAGTTCAAGGAAATATGTAGTACAATGGATCTCAATAAACAGAATCACAGAACTGAGAGGAGCTGAGAGCTGATCTTCTCATAAAATCCCTGAATGTCAGAGCTGGCAGAAAATTAGGAATTTACTTGGTCCATTGTTTTTCTGAGGAAGCAAGGAGGAAACCAACCAGATTAGCTCAATTTTTATCTATTTTACATACTGGGGTTCCAAGGGAAAAAGCTTTACTTTTCCTTTTTTTAAACTACTAGTCTTAACACCCACATTATGCAAATCAGGGACCTGCAGCTTAGAGAAGAGAAACCCTCTCTCCAAGTCCTTCCAACAGAAATTATCAAATGGAGAGGGAGCTTTTCAACCATGTGACGCTCTGCCTCCCCAGGTATTTCACTTAAATGGCACCCTGGAGGATTCAAAGATATTTGTCCTTTATCTCTGACTTCTAGACACTTCAGATCAAGTTGGGGAAAAGAGCCTTAAACCATTAATTGTAAATGCAGGCAAAGGCACCAAGCTACATTCCAACTAGAGGGCACTCTCTTGTGAGTCCCGGACCTACATATCCATCGGCATCCAGAGTATTTCTGCTTTGTAGGTCCCAGACTCCTCAAATTCAACATATCCAAACTCACTGTCTGTGGTGGGTAGCCTCTAAAATGGTCCCAGTGATCCCTATTTCGTGGTATTCATGCCCTTGTGTAATCTCCTCCCTTTGAGTGTAGGTTGGATCTAGTGACTTGCTTTTAACAAATAGAATATGGCAGGAATGATGAGATATTACTTCCAATATTAGGTCATAAAATGACTGTGGCTTCTTCTTTCTTGGGTGCACCATTCCACAATCTTGCTTGCTCTCTCTGAGAGAAGCCAGCTGCCATGTTGTGAGCTGCCTATGGAGAGGCCCATGCACAAGGAATTAACATCCCCAGTCAGCAGCCAGCGAGGACTTGAGGCCTGCCAACAGCCATGTGAGTGAGCTTGGAAGAGGATCTTTCCCCAGTCAAACTTTGAGATAACTGCAGCCCTGGCCGACACATTGCTTGCAGTCTTGTGAGTGACCCAGAGCCAGAGGCACTCAGCTAAGTCTGGATTCCTGACTCACAGAAACTGTGAGATAATAAATTTTTTGTTGTTTTAAGCTGCTGAAATTTGTTACATGGCAACAGATAATACACCATCTTTCTCTAAAATTAACTTTGCCTCCTGTATTTGTTATCCACCCAGTCAAAAAATTTTCCTTTATCCTTCACATCTAGCTGGTCACCATATCTTGGACATTCTACCTCCTACAGAGTTTTCTAGATCTGGCTTACTGCTAGTCTAGGTCAGGCCTGAACCATTGCTCACCTGGACTACTTTAATAGCTTCCCCATTTGTTTCCCTTCATTCAAACTCACCCTTCTAATTCATCTGGCACAAACTGAATATTAACACTCCTCTGCCTAAAATCGCTGTCTACAGAATGAAGCCCAAGTTCCATAGCATGTCTTACAAATTTCTCTGTGACCTGGCATCTGTCTCACACTTCAGCTTTATTTCCTCCCACTCATCACTGCACATCTTGGGCTCTAGTTGTGCTGAACTATTAGTAGTTCTAGGATACTTCACTGCTTTCTGCCTTTAAAATCTCCTGCCTGGAAACACTCTTTATTTATCAAAT